AGATTCTGAACTATTTGGCATTTAATTTTCTGAAGATAAAAGAAAAGAATATGTCCTTTTATACTCAAAACTGCAACATAAAACAACAAATAAAATTCTCTTTCATTATTTTCAAATTTTAAAAACTACATGAAACACTTCAGCCAATTTTAGGAGTAGGAAAAATTTCAGTGTCATTTTTCTACCCAAAGATCTGAGCTTTTTATCAATGAACAATTGTAATAATTAGTTGCTTCCTGGATTGTCACACCCCTCCCTATACATTAGAAGCCATGATTCATTGTAAAAGAAATTGATTTTAGTGCGTGATTTCTTAAGGTGGTCAACCGTTTCTCCTCTTACAGTTCTATTTTGTGTGGCAATTTGAATCTAGCTGACTGTCGAGTTGTTGGTCCATTGGAGATGTATCTGCCCTAAGGGAACACCTGAAAGAGTGAACAGCAAACATTTTTATTAATTAAAAACTTCATAGATGTGATGGGCAGGAAACTTGGAAAACACATAAAAGTACCAATTAAAACATAGCTCTGAGTTAACTGGGTATATGTGTCTCTGTCCCCAAGAATTGTGTACTATTTGGCCTGGACACCACTGCTCATAAACTTTTCAGATATCCCCAGGCTGTATTATACTTTCTGATTGTGTATCACATTTGTTCTTGTTTTACACTGTTGTCATTGTGAGATTTTGAAGATGGTTATGTACCTCTTTTTTAATGATTTAATTAGCCAACATATTCATATCTATTGTGTATTAAAATGAAACATTGCCTGGGAATTAGTAACAGGCAAAGTTCATATTTGTGTGGAATTTGATAAAAGCAAGATGCTGAAACTCCAGGTGACAATCTGCAAACTCAGCAGTGATGGTTATTCACGCTGCTACCTGAACAGCATAGCAGAGCTTCTGAGTAAATGTCAGACGTCAGGGAACGCACAGTACATGTAACTATGATCACGCAGACTGTTTACCTCTTCACTGCACTGCATATTCATAATGGTGGACACTCGATAAGTTGGTGTTTGCTAGTTGGGTTGGAAAGTTTTATATTAAGACAAACCACTTACATCATAGTTATAAATTAGCAAACTATGAACCTTTAAAGTTTTATTTAGAGTTTCTCTGAAGCTCACAGAAAGCAAAAATGTGCACTGCTGTGGGATGGTCTGTATGTTAAATTGCTCTGATTGGTCAATAAATAAAACACTGATTGGCCAGTGGCCAGGCAGGAAGTATAGGTGGGACCAACATAGAGAATTCTGGGAAGTGGAAGGCAGAGGAGGGAGTCACTGCCAGCCGCCACCATGACAAGCAGCATGTGAAGATGCTGGTAAGCCACAAGCTATGTGGCAAGGTATAGATTTATGGAAATGGATTAATTTATGCTATAAGAACAGTTAGCAAGAAGCCTGCCACAGCCATACAGTTTGTAAGCAATATAAGTCTCTGTGTTTACTTGGTTGGGTCAGAGCAGCTGTAGGACTGGCAGGTGACAGACATTTGTCCTGACTGTGGGCCAGGCAGGAAAACTCTAGCTACAGTCACTGTGTTAAAAAGAAAGATGATGGTAGTTTTGTTCACATAGTCTTTACAGTAGCTATGCCCCATCATATAGTTATGATGTTGAAAGAAAAATGTGGTCTTTGACTTCTAAATACTTGCTGTATAGTCTCAATTCGGAATGGCATTTTAGCTTTTAGAAAATCCAGGAAATCAAATGTTATAGAAAATGCATCAGCAGAAGGGTTGTATCTAGTGGTTTTTTAAATCTGGTGGTAGCATATAGAATGGATCACACACATTTGCACATCCAAACACACACACACACACACACACACACACACACACACACACACACACACGCACACACACGCACATACAAGCACACACATCCATGTACATACGTGCATTCATGAGCTTTTCACAGAGCTGCCCATTTTCTTCACTTATCCTTCACATTTTAATTTGAATGTTACTTTCTTAAGACGAAAGTTCCTGAAACTTTCTGTATCAGTTTCATCAGCTTCTTTATATTCCTATCAGTTTCAAAGCACCTTAACTTTTCCTCATACAGTACTCATTATATTTGTATGATATTATGTAGCTTAACACACTAGCAAAATACCAGGTATCAATCATGAGCTGAGAAATGGTGAGTGCAGGCTGTTAACTTGAATATGTAGAAAACTGACAGGAATATGGAAAGAAGGAGTCCAGGTGTGACAGGACTTTAACAGAAAGAGACAGAGCATTTACTGATACTGTTCAAAAATGATGTGTGGAGTCTCATAGTTGTGTGTAAAGATTTGTTACAGAAAGGCAGAAATATGAATTATCAGAAGCAACAACCCATTAGACATAATGATCATGGTACCAGAACTCATGAAACTTCTAGGAACCCACAAAACACCTTAAATTTTAATTTCTTAATCAGATACAAGGTGCATATAATGCTAATGCACAAATGTGAACCCCATAGAAGTTTAAAATTCAATTTTAGAATTTTTTTTTGGAAGAAGAAACCTGGCCTGGATAGTTTAAAGTACTCATAATGGTTGTCAGGCAGGCCTGGTATGGTATCTATGTACACCAGACACTATTTTAGTTAGATCCTAGGACAGGAAAAGATGATATAAGCCTGAAAATGTCTTCCCATCAAAGAGGACAGAATGGCAGGCTGAGGAGATTCTTCAGGTTTACTTGTCTCGCAGCAGTTCCTTGTTTACTCTCAGCTTACAGCAGGCTTGGGAGAAAATTCCTCCCAAAGTGGATGGTGAAGAAGGATACTAGTTCAGAATCATTGGCCTTGATTTAGAGGGGCCTTGAATAGACACGAGAAGAGGGACATTACAAACATTCAGGCCAATATTTACTCATGCATTTAAGATTCTTGTTGGAAAACCTTAGAAGTCAGACTTATGATTTGGCCTTCACCAGAATTTTATATTCTAGGAGAGGGTAGTCTATATTCTCACAGCTGTAGCCTTGGGTCATTGAACACAGTAACATAAGAAAACAGGAGAGTTAGACTCTTGTAAAGGTGTTAAAGCTATTAAAGTTAGAACTCTGTCATGGAGCAAGCCATCCCATCCAAAGACAGAATGTATGACAGATGCCATCCATCCATGGGTGGACTGATTTTTCTATAGGACAAACAGAAGTAACATTTCACACATTAATTATAACCTAACTTTTTGTGGTGTATCTCAGACTGGCCTTGAACTTGCTATGTAGCCAAGGATGAATGTGAACTCCAGGCTCTCCTGCTTTGAATTCCGGAGTACTGTCACCACCATACCTCAGTCAGGCAGTCTAGGAGTTGAATCCAGAGCTAGCATGGTAGGTAATCACTCTATTAACTGAGCTGCATCCTCAGACTTCACTACAACCTATTTGAAAGTTAATTTTATAGAATATTTAAATTGTTCTAAATCCAGAAATCTTCACACACATTTGTAACTATAAACAGTTATAACTACTCATCATTGTAGCTTATATAAGTATCGTTAATTCAGATCATATCCAAAGTGACAATTAGATAATATTACACAGTGTGAATGGAACACAGCTGTTGTGAACTTTCCCAGTGAGTGGTTTTGTGGTTGGGATTTGTCAAGTCTCATGCTGGGAATTCAAGAGGTACATGACAGACTGACTTACCTTGGGTGTAGAAGACACCCGAACCAACAGGAAGGTAAAGGCAGACATTTACTGAGAGGATATGGCATTTGTATCACATCCTAAAACAGGAAGTCAAAGCCAAAGAGTATGCACATTTTCAAATTTATGCAACTTATGCTTGTGTTTTATAAACTTCATTAAACTTTTGGTTACATATTCTTAAACATGGTGAGTAGTTAAATATTGAAGTATATGGCACTGTTCATCTATTTTTCATGTCTCTTTGGAAAGAGACATATAAAAATATCAGAAAACATATGAATTCCTGCCACTGGTGACATACAATGGTCACTGCACTTTCAATGAGTAAATTGGCTGTCTGTGTTTTGTAGACTGTTTGTTGTCTGTGTTTTCAGAGTGCCCTCTGTCTGTCTATGTTTTGCAGACTGTCTGTTGTCTGTCTGTGTTTTGCAGACTGTCCTTGGCCACAGAAAATTGACTAATAAATCATCCCAAAGCTTCTAAAAGTTGGTCTTCTGACTGCATAATGATAAAAATAATGATAATTAGCTGGGCTGCAGTGGTGCACGCCTTTAATCCCAGCACTTGAGAGGCAGAGGCAGGCGAATCTCTGTGAGTTCGAGGCCAGCCTGGGCTACAGAGTGAGTTCCAGGAAAGGCGCAAAGCTACACAGAGAAACCCTGTCTCAAAAAAAAAAATCTTAAAAAAATGATAATCACTGAGGATACATCCAAGAATTTCACTCAGGATTTTATAGCACTGATATTCTCCTCTTCACACTCTGTCGTCCTCCACCATGGTATGAAAACTGAAAGGTGTCAAAATATAGTCAGTTACCTGGTAATTTCAGAAGTGCTCAGATATTTCCCTCACAGTATTAGTGAAGTTAATTCAGGGCAGAGTGTTCACAATCAAGCCTCCTAGGCAGTTTAACAGCAGCTGAGTGGTTCTTCCTTTTATGTGAGTCCCTTCTAGGGCTGAGTTCAAAACATTGGTATTAAAGAAGGCAACCAGTGAGTGGATGTTGTTACTGGGGCTAAAGATCTGTTTCCTTCAATTGGTTCAACAGGCGGTTTGAATCAGTTCATCCTGCGTCACCTCCTTCCTAGCTAGACATCGGGGATGACTGCCGGTGTGCAAACATCTGTAGAATGGGTTTATTGCGATTGACTGGATCTTGTTTCTTCTCCCCATCTCTCTACTTTGCTGCTGCTGCTGCTGCTGCTGCTGTTTTCTGTTCCTTTCCCTCCCACTGTTTATGCCCCGGCCTGATGATCTTAATTTGTTGACATGTTGCTCTCAATGTCTTCCTCGAATCTGGGCTCACATTTTGTTCTCTTTTGCCCTTTCCTTGACAGCCTTCCTTGCTGGAGTCCTCACACGCACATGGACTTTCAGCGCACCAGGCTCAGCTGGCTGGCATCGATGGGTTAGAGAAGCATGGACTCCTCTCCAGGACCCACTCTTCCCCTGCAGCTTCCATGTTACCGCACCCAACAGCAGACCGTCCCCGACAGCCTGCCTCTTCCACTGGTAGGAATCCCTAAAGACCCTTTAATAGGCAGGAGAAATGTGCAGTTCTTGTAGGATTAGCCGATTTAAATGCTCGGAATAACTCCAATAGCAGAATGCTCCATTTTAACTCAATGCAACTCAAATTTTATGAGGTTATGTTGGCCACAAGACAAACAGCACATCTGATAAATCTTGGGCTTAGTATTAATAGCCTCATAAATTGTTATCATTCAAGAGCCTGGAAAATTCATCAACAGGTGCATGGATCCCCCTTGGAAATAAACTCCCTACCACATTCTTCAGCAGTGTGCCTCAGACTCTTACCTTCCCCGAGACTGGCCACAAGGAAATTTATGATGCTTGGCTTCCTCATTTGGCTCTGAAGAGTATCTTTTCCTCGTTGGTTTCTTGCCGTTTTGCTTCCGTGTTTTTTTCTGACTTCCCACACAAACGACTCCTGGGAGTCAAGGGTAGCAAGGCAAGCCGTGCTTGAATGTATGTATGTTAGTTGCCTGTCCATTCATTATGGTACCTCTGGGTGGGCTTTCTGACCAACATCTTCTTTGCCTCCAGCCGTTTTGATATTTAAGAGCCTGGCTACAGACAAAACAAGCATGTAATTGTAAGTCCAGAACAAGGTCAGGTCTGAAACACAAGGCAACAACAGGGTGTGGACCATACAGTGCTATCCACTGTGACTGAGCAAATGAAACCAGTGAGGCTCTAAGAGAGCCACAGCATGGGGACAGCAAGGAGAGTTTATGCATATGTCCCCAGGCTCCAGTCGGCTCTCTGATTCATTTTCAAATTGTTTTTCAGGATTCAGAGCTTGGTCTGGGGGCATCTATCACCTCATGCAAACCTTTTAGCCTGAAAACACTAAACTGTCTTTTTCGGGAATCATGTTCCCAGCCCTTGATATGATTTATCATTTTTTTTTTTACTTTTCATATTAATCAATTAATGCATTGGCCAGATTAATTAACTGGTGACAGACATCTTTTAAGAGTATATATAGGAGCTAATTGGATAACCAATTATGTCACAAGACAGCAACATTTCGTACTAGTTGTTACAGTTTGGGCATATTTCCTTTTCCACATCAGTGGCTTCTGACCAGATCCCCTACTTCCTGTAGCACTGGAAAACCTGCCTAGAGATCCCACAAAGCCCACACCTGCAATCCAGTGTCAGCAGAAACCTGTGGGATCCATCACGCCTGTGCTACCTCTCCCCAAGTCTAGAAAAATTTTGCTCAAAACCAGGATGTCTAATATATACAGTAATACTTCTTTTTTCCATATTTGTTTGTTTTTATTTCATGTGTATTAGTGTTTTATGCCTACCTCTCCATGTGAATATATGGTGTGTGTGTGTGTGTGTCTGTGTTAGTGTGTGTGTGTTTGTGTGTGTATGTTTGTGCATGTGTATATCTGTGTTTGTATGTGTGTGTTTATATGTATGTGTGTTTATGTGTGCATGTGTGTGTGTTATGTGTGTGTATGTGTGTGTATGGTTTTGTGTGTGTATGTGTGTGCTTGTGTGTGTGTACCACATGCATGCCTGGTGCCTGCAGAAGCCAGAGTTCTTCCTCCTGGAACTGGAGTTAGTAGTTATGAGCAGCCTTGTGGTTATTGGGAACCAAACTCAGGTTCTCAGCAAGAATAAGGAGTTCTCTTAACCACAGAGTCATCTCTTCAGCTCTGAAACACTTCTTTAACCTGGCAAAAGCAGTAGTCTTAGTAACTGCATGCTGAATACCCTTTTCATGCAAGTGGCTTGTATTTATCCTTAATAGACTACATAGTGATAACTGCCCCACTGCAATGCCACCAACTGAAGAAATCTCCTTGATTGAAAAGTGTGCTTAGCTACTTATTTAATGTCATTGTTGGTATGTGCATTGCTGGCTGCTGTTGTAACCTTGTAGACATTGCTCTGCCTTGACTTAGAGGAGAGGTCCTTTCCTCAACCTTGTAGACATTGCTCCACCTTGACTTAGAGGAGTGGCCCTTTCCTCACAAGCTCATCTTTCTCTGACTCCACATGTTCCTTAAAGAAACAGGATCCTTGAATCTTAGAGAGGTCCTATAAGTTTGAGAAAACAGTATGTCCAAATAGTCAGGGTGTGTAACTTCCAGAAAAGTCCAGAGGAAAACAGGACTGCACACATGATAATGTGAGCATGCATAGCTAAAATCTGGCCATGCAAATGGAAGACTGAACCATTTCAGACCATTTGTTTCTTTCTCATCATGTCAATAGCCTAATATTTATCAGAGCACATATTCCAAAAATTAATATGGAATAAATTTAAGACCCTTTCGTATTTAATGGATTTTATGAGACAATTTCTTATCAAATTGAAAGATTATACAAAGTTCTCTTTTATAAAACATAGAGATTTGTGTTTACTTGGCAATTAGTTCAGTCAGCAAATAATAATTGCAGAGTACGCAATTATGGATTCAGTAGTTCAGATTGAAAACACTGGAAGGGGAAGTTATTTAGTAATTATTGTTCTGTTCAAGAATGATGGGTATCTCATTATGTATTCATGAGTAAAGAAGAGCCTAGTTATTGTCTTTCAAATTAAAAACACTACAACTTCAAACTTAAATTCTTATTGTGGAAAAATAATACTTTTTGAAGTTTTTTAAAATAAATATTTTGTGTAATAACTCTTCCCTGACCCTGAGGCAATATACATATGCATATATAGATTGATATGTGCATATGTACAGAAAAATGCATATGTAAACATAACATTCATTCTTGTGATACATTCACAGATGGGTATATAACTCTCTATGTATTTATATGTGTAGGAATATATATATATATATATATATATATATATATATATCCCTACATACATAAATATATATACACACATATAAATGCACATATATATATATATACATACACACACATATACATGTATATTCCTACACACACATATATTTTTTCCTACATATATAAATACAACCTGACTGGTCTATATAATATTACTTATATGTATGTCTTCAAGGCTAACTATTTGATATTGCATAGTCAATTGGTTGTCCTCTTCCAGGGGTAGGATCAGAGACTATTTCTCCTACTCTCAGGATCCCTTCATTGTCTGTAGTTCTTTGTGTAGGAGTGAGGCTCCTGGGATTTTCCCCATTCATGTTAAGATGTCTATTGCTATTGTCTTTGTTCAGCTCAGGTTTAGGCAGTCATGTTGGTGAGACTTCATACATGCAGCCTCTGATATTCCCAGGGGAAACCATCTCACAGCAGAGTCCTCATTTCTGTAGCTCTTACAGTCTTTCTGGCCCCTCTTCGGTCATGCTCGCTAAGCCTTAGGTGCGGGGATTGTATCTTGGATCAATCCTTTGGGAATGTTTTGTTTTATGCCAGATCAAGACCACACTTATTTGTGAGTACAAGGAAAAGTATTTAGAATGTAGTTAGGGATTATGCTGTTTTAGTAAAGTGGAGGTTGTAGGTTATCTTCCAAGGTCCATGCCTTTACTAGTCCTGCAGAGTTGGCTAGCTTCCCATGACTGGGCATGATTTCCCTCTTGTTGAGCAGGTCTTAAGTACCGTTAGAGAGCCATTGGTCACCGCCAATGTAAGTGCTCCTTTGGGGGTGATTGCGAGTGCTTTCCATGGTTGGGATTCATCGCAGCATAGCTGGATAGGACTGTTGTTGCTTCCCTCCTTTGAAAGGTGCCATCTGGTACCTTGAAAGTGGAAGATAAGTTGCTGAAGACACCATGCACTTCAGTCCCAGGGCCCAGAGGCCCCTGGGTTGGAACACATGTAATGTTTAAGGATTGCCATTCAGATTTTTATTATAAATATTTATTCTCACAGGCTAACTGACTCATAGCCTCCTTTCTACAAAGTAACATCAAAACAAAACCACAATAAATAAAAATAAAGAAAAGGCATTCCATGGAGAAAGTGAACTCTCAGCAACTTCCTCTGGGAACTAAATGGACTCAGTCACAAAGCCCAAGAGCAGCCATAGCCTATGGCCTGTGGAGAGCCCAGGTCAAGCTGTCTGTGGGACCAACCAGAAGGATATGAGCTCCTGTTACTGCTGTGGTGATGGGGTGTGTCTGGTAAAGCCAGGCTGCCACCACCTCCAAAGAAGGTTATGTCATAGTTGGCTGTAGTGTAAAAGTTACAGGAGCTTTTCCACTTGAAGACTAGGAATTGTGTATTGTGTCTGAGGTGCCAGTCATTTGGCAAAGGGAAATTTATTCATTTTTCTGCTAAAATCATGTCTTCTGCTCAACTAGAGATTAGGCTCGGCCATGGCTCACAGAGTACATCCACTAGAGGATGCTAGCTGCGGATTTACCTGAATGGATTCACTGCGATGAACCATCATAACGTATTAGATTGGCCTTTCTCCCAGACCATTCGGTGCCCGACAGTCCTCTTCCTATGTCTTACATACAGGCCCTAACCCATGCTGATAAATTATCTCTTTATACCACTACCATGTTAGCTAGAGTTGAATTTGAAAGAGAATCATGGTACTGAAACTAAACTGATATTTGTAAAAGTCATGAAAATAGTTACAAATTTTTACAAATTTGTAAAATTTACAATTTGTGTAATTCCAAAAGTCACAATATTTGTAAAACACTGGCTCATCCCAGTGTTTGGTTCAGTTATTTTTTTTCTCTTAACTTAATATTTTCTGTAACTATGTGTTTGTTTGGTTTTTTTTTTTTTTTTTGTCTTTTTTCTTTATACTCCATAGACTTCTCATGCTTGTATCCAATGGCACTGGGATGATTTTATAAAATACAGATCTATGTTTGCTGCCTCCAGCATCAACTTTATTCTTTGTTCTTTGCTTCCCTTGCAGCCCCTACTTATGTCCACTTTCTTCTCGTTCACCCCATCTTCTAACTTCATTGACCTCTGCCCTCTGCTCAGCACTTAGTTTCTTAGAACGATGATTTTAGACTTTGAAGATGCCAAAGCAGTTTTTAAAATACTGTTTTTCAGTC